TGGTGAGTTTGGTTATTTGACAGTGAACTCAGTCTCACTGTTCTTTACACGAAATGATAATAGTTGAAATAAAATTCTACTGAATAGAGTTTGCCTTATTCCCTAACAAATTACAGCTGCTACTACTAGACGATGTGACCGGAACCATCTGTTTGAATTTTGCTCAGTGATTTCTTTATTCGTAGGGCAGTCAATCGTGCCGTTGGCTTTGGATGCCAACATTCGACCATAATTTTCGATAAAACTTGTAGAATTTCTTCGTCTTGCCATCGTTCTGGAATGGGCGGGCGAATCTTTTGTGTGCACACAACATCGTACATATCTTCAAAGCTTGGATCTGATGGAACCATATCATGATATGGTAATGCATAATCTTCGCAAGCGGTACTCTTGGTACCGGGAATAGTGGTCACACATCGTCGTGCCATTTCCCAAAATACCAAACCAACTGAATAAATATCGGCCAATTTAAATGATTCGAATTGCGTTGGATTTAACGATTCGTCCAATACTTCGGGTGCCATATAACGACGTGTACCGACACGAGTATTTGGTGCAATATGAATTTCATCTAATTCACTATTGTACTTAACGGCCAATCCAAAATCGGCTATGGCACATTGCCCATTACGTTTTACTAGAATATTTCGACTTTTGATGTCACGATGAGATATCGCTGGCTTTCCTGGCTTACTGAATATTTCCATATGCAAATGTGCCAAACCTGCTGTCAACGAATGTGCCAACTCTTGTAAACTACGTGGACTGATCACATGCATTTGTAAATAATCATGGAGACTGCCATTCTCATGATAATCGGTGATCAAAAACATTCGTGTATAGCTCCCTGTACCTGTAAGGGGAGAATCACAAACGAAAAGAATAGAATTAATTTAAAATAATCGACAAATAATCGAAAAAGAATCAATAAGAATTAATTAAGCTCCCTGTACCGCTAATATCGGCTGCAATGAAACCCAAGATATTTTCATGACGCATCAAAACTGTTTGATAAATTTCAGTTTCACGGAACCACGAGGCTTCTTCGGTAGTAAAGAATACTTTAACAGCAACGGGCTCTTCACGCCATTTGGCTAACCATACCTCACCGTATCGGCCACGACCTACCGATTTTTCCAATTGAATCTGCTTGGCTATTGTTCGTTGGACGAGCAAAGGTAGACCTAAAATATCAGTCAATGATTCATTAATTACCTTGTATATATATATTATGGTATTTATTATTTTATCCCAAGTCAGTATAATACGCTTTTCGAAGAGTGTACACGCTCTTCTCACACTCTTCGTATAGTTTTATTCGACTCCCTTCTCACACTCTTCTCACTCTCTTCTCACACTTTTGCATAAAACACGTATATTGAGTGAGAAGAGAGTGTGTAATGGTATTGAAAATGCTATCACTGCTGTCACTGCATTCTAGTAGTAATGTTTGTATTTTGATATATGAACGTTTTAGACGTTTATAGCATTCGTCAGCTGTGTCAAAATACAACAGAACTACAAATTCATTTTTTTTGTATACGTTCATTTTTTTCAAAATGTCAAAAATAAACAAAATCAAAATCTATCCATCAGTAGAAAAATTTATTATAAAGGAAAAAAAAGAAAATTTTTTAGAGAAAAAAATTGAAGCTACTGAGCAATAAACGTGTTTTATGCAAAAGTGTGAGAAGAGTGTGAGAAGGGAGTCGAATAAAACTATACGAAGAGTGTGAGAAGAGCGTGTACAGGTGTACACTCTTCGAAAAGCGTATTATACTGACTTGAGATTGGGCCACTACCTGAGCCAGATCCACTACTCTGTTCAAATAAATCATTCAATGGCGACAAATGACTACTGTGACCCGATTCGAGAAGACAGACTTGTTTGCGTTTGGTTTCACGACGACGGTAGGTCACAAGAACAACTAGAACAATGATCAGAAATAATATCGCACAAACACCCAGCGATAATAATAATGCCAATTGATTATAACTAAATTGATCAATTTGTTGAGTATCCGATGGTGATGGAGTTGTAGACGGTGCCTGAAATTCTAATTCCATATTTTGATTACAGAATTCACCCGAGTCACAGCATTTTATATTTTGACCGGCCAAATATAAGGAACCACGACACTATAATTAAAAATTAAAGAAGAAACAAGGTTATTAAAATTGATATGAGCCGCATAAGCAAACAGAATGTATTTCACCTAAAGATGTGTACAAAAATGAAGACAAAAATTGAAAAATTCGTTGTAAATTACCTGTAAAAGTCCACCACTTTGCTCTGGTGGCATACATCCATATTCGTATTCAACATCATATTCATTGGTTGTACTGTTATAAATACCACGTACGGAAGCAAAGCACGAACCGCCGGGTCTGGTTTCGCATTTTTCGTTGTCCACTGATTCTTCTGGGCAAACGTTGCAGTAGCATGTTAGTGTTTTGGCTGAAATGGACAAGGAAAAATATGTTAGATTTGTAATTGTTTTTTTTTTACATTCAATTTTTACATTCAAAACGATTTTTATAGAATTTTAAAAAAGTGTATGTGTGTATTGAAAAGGACTCTTTATACAATGAAATGTGCATCTAAAATTAAACTAAAAACTGCAAATAATTTGCCGCTGAAGTTTGCTTTGATCCAAGATCTAAGGTGATCGTGTGTGATTGAACCTCTGTGAAAAATAGCATTTTATAACGATGTATAGTTTTTTTTTTGCCTTTTTGTTACTGCATGCAATTTTCAAACGCAATGTGTCGTAAATGTAGTGAAAATAATTTGTCTTTCTCTTGTGTGTCCAATTTCGTAGCGGTTTGTATTACCACATGCTGTGTGCTTGGCACACGCACCATTCCGTTGTGTACACGTATGTTACATTTTTCGTAATGCGTGGGTTTTGCAAACGGTATACATTTTGAATGAAAACTCTCGTTTTATGAACGAAACCACAATATCAAAAAGTGTGCGTGGGGTGCATTGAGAGTGAGATATTGTATGGCAATAAATGCACGTCTTTTGTGTATGCAAAATAAAAAATAAAATGCAATAGTAAAGACTAAAGCGCTAGAGCAACAGAAAAAAAGGTGACAGACATAGACTCGAAAAAAGAGATTTAGCAATCAGGAACTCAGAGAGTTATAACTTTAAAACCAAACGATACGCACAAATAAACGTAACAAGAAATTCTCTTCAAACTCTAAATAATTTATTGTGTATAAAATGAAAATCAATTCAGTCGAAAACGACAAAAATCTTTGATTTGATTGCGTGTGACGACAGCGAGCGGGCGTGTGCATTCGTACAATTTATTGATACGCAAATCACAGAAATGTCGAACAAGAAACATCATATATAGGTCAATTGACGATATGGCCAATTTGACAAAGTCAAATCGAATCAAGCATGCGCACACATGATTCGAACGCACTATCATCAATACATACTTTATGCAATCAGTCAGGCGCACCAGATGATATCGAACAGGCACATTTTCTTTAAAATAAGTTTTTAATTGCGCTTCACTCGATATAGTCTATAAATTTCCCACAATGTATTCTATTTTAAGATGATGCAAGAAAAAGTGCATACAAAAAGGGACACGACAATTCAATGATTAACAAACAATGAATAGATCAAATAAAATCGTCGCAATTGTAATGAATGAATTGTAAACTGATTCAAGTTAATACACATATCTATCTTTGGCACACGCACTCAAATCACTGCTTCTTTCCCCTCTGATAGAGACCTCTCTCTCTCTTTTCTTTTCATTTTTTCTTTTTTGTTCGGCTTTAAATCGTTTTACACTCATGTTAATGAGTTGGAAATCCATTTAGGTGCCGATTGATATCCCATTCAATAAAAAATGATGTGCTCGGTGTATGAATATAACGACGCAAATATTCGTAGCAGAGCGTGTGTGATGAGGAAAAAAAAAGTTAAAGCACAATGTGTGATGACGACAACGACAATATCTTCACTCGATCGTCGTAAAATGTCGATCGTATGTAAATGGAAAATGTCATGAATGCAAAGAGACACGGACATTGCAGAGCGTTATAAAAAATCACATACTTTGGAACAATAATAGCATTTGATTCTATTGCACATGTGCAGTTATGCGCTGTGGCTGTCATTTATAAGTACATGCCAATGAGTGAGTGAGCTATTCGTACGCTCGCGCACATCTAACGCTGCTATTTCTCAATGGTCGCCCAGTTCAAGTGAGTGAATATATTTATACTGTCATCGCGTTCTTTTTTTATTGGTAATTTTATTGGTGTTTTTCCTTCCATAGATATTTCATTTATTGCCTTTTATTAGCTAGTACGTCAGTTTCAGTTGCTCATATAAATATATATAAATTCCTTGTCTTCTTCATCATTCCCGTTTCTTAATATTCTCTCTATCGATAAATGAAATTTATGTTCTGTGTGTAATGCGTATTTGCTTTTTTCACTCTTTTTTCTCTTCCTTTTACTTCATCGATTTAATTGATTTTTATTGTTTGTATTTGAGTTTTTTTTTCTTTATATTTGTAAATAGTGTGCGTGTATATATGTGATATTGACATGAGCTCATCGTGTGCTAAATCGATGCAAACATAGTATGTTAACATGATAAATATAGTTAAATCGATTTTAATCGCTTTTCTTAAACATTTTGTTAATTCAGTTGGTTCTGATGTAATGGGAATTGTGTGGATTTTGATATAAAAACAAAGAGGAAATGAGTAAAGAATCAGATAGACGTAAACACTGCAGTTTTACACTATCAATCTTTCCGAAATCTGGTAATGATATAACTGAATTTTAAGTCAAATACAATCAAACTGATCTTTGAATGCATTTATCTTCGTTTTTTTATTCATTTAGTGATAAACTTTTTTGTACGTCATATAAGATAAAAACAAGTGGAATTTTCAATTAAAAACAAACGAAAAGAAACAAATCACATCAATAACTTAACAAGGCACGACCTGTTCAACTGAATTTAGAATATTGATCATTCGACAATGCAAATCAAGACAAAAAAGTCCATCTAATTAATTATTTTATTTGGAATTAGTCGTCGACGGCAGCAACGATCCGAATGTTTACTATTCGATTGGTTTTTATCAATGAATTGAGTTCATTAAATGTGACTTTTTGTTTTTTTTTTCGTCGTTCTCTCTCCAATTCTTTATCAATCTCTAGTGACATTAAACTATCAAAGCTTTCGGCGGAATTAATAGACCATACTCTATCAAATAAAATGTGTTTTTGTTTGTTTTTTTCTTGTTCTCAGTCTTTTGTGTCCAGCTCAAGGATAAAACTAGAAATATGTGTACCCGAGAACCACACTGAAAAAACTCATAGACAATTTAATCGAATAATATGCATGCACTATCAACTAAATAAACACCGCGGTGTTATTTATTTCAACTAAACAAACATTAACGTGTTTCATTCTTTTGGGTTCCACCGATCGTAAAACAGTTTTGAAAACAAATGTTATTTATTTAAAGACACATTTACTCAATATGAGCTCATTTTAGGGGATGTTAAAAAATTTCTCGTTCGCTTTGATCTTCTTCTTTTTCAATCATTTTATTTATTTAATCTAGATGGTGCACGTAAATAAAAAAAAAATAAAGAGTCTTACGGGAGTAAGACGAACTTTTCCGCACGGTGGTAGTTGCGTATTTTATTAAGAAAGTTCAAAATAATATTTGTTCGATTTTTCAAGCCTTTCAAGCGTCGTAAAGTTCGAAACCAAAAAATATGTTTCAACTTTGGCAACGAAATATTCTTTAATTTAATAGCAGAAGTACCCGAGAAAAGATTTTTAACACTTTCATGATGAACCCATTTGTGCGGCATTTGAAAGTATTCTATTTTCAAACAAAACACTATAAAAAAAATGTCTGACGTTAATTTTGCCATAAAAATTGTTTTTGAAACACTTTTCATAACTAAAGTTACAAAAAATTTGGATTTTTGTATGGGAGCCATGTCTGTATGCTACCTTAATGGCATGAAACTTTGTACAGGTTATTTCTTTCACCAAAAAATAACATTCGGAGGGTTTGGAGAAATTTCAACCAAAATTAAGGGTACCTCCCATACAAAATATTCGTTTTTGAGCCAAAAATTGTAAATTTTGTATGGGAGTTACCCCTAATTTTGATTGAAATCTCTTCAAACTTTCAGAATGTTATTATTTTGTGTAAAAAATAGTCTGTGCAAAGTTTCGCGTCATTAAAGTAGCAAACAGGCATGGCTCCCATACGAAAATTCAATTTTTTTGTGATTTTTCCAAGGAAACTGTATCAAAAATTGATTGTATCTCAAAACTAACCTCGGATTCGGTTTTCTCGTGCCAAAAAACCCCCCATTACATATTTTTGAGTGTTTAAGTCTACATTAAGTATGACTTTTGGACGAAAATTGGACTCTTTTTCATAGGTATCACTCCAGGCATGAATTTTTTTTCCATCAACCAAAATCGCTCAAAATCTAATGATTTCTATTCCTCGGAGCCCCCAATCATCCCGTGAAGTCAGATTTTAAATAACTTTTCTGGGGGGTGAGATAATCGATGGACAAATTTTTCGTACGGCGGACAACGTACGACGTACGACGTACGACGTGGAACAGACCCACAACAACCATGCTCAAAACGGCCTGATTCGGGTTCTCTGACCTCAGAAACGTCCAGAAAACATGTTTTTGAGATGTCGTAAATTTTGACCCATTACAATACTTTCCCCTTTCACACTATGTGTGTGCGGAAAAGTAAAACAAAACGTAAACTTCATCCCTTCAATTCAACTGCAAAGGAAGACAAGAACAATGCTTTGAACTTTTATGAGAGTAAAGTTTTCCATCAGTTTTTTATCAGTTTCAAAACACATGATCAATAATTGGAGTTTTCCTCTGTGTTTCAGCGCTTATCGATCAATTGAGCGCGATGGACACAAAAAAGGAAAACAGACGACTGATTTTTTATGCATTAATAAATAATAATTATTATTATTTATATAAACTTCTGTATTTTTAGTGCGTCACATTTTTTGGTCAATATTCCATTTCAATTTTGCATTGTATTCCGAAAGATCCGGGATATGTGGTCAACAGAAAGATGTACACTACATCCGCTTTTGTAATCAATTCGAAAGTATTCGAATCAAAGATGAAAAAAAAAAATGAAAATCCCCCATTTAGATCTAAATTGATCGGCCCTCCCTAGTGATCATGTGTATACACATGCATATATGTATCCATTATTTGGAGATTAGAGTGTTGTTTAGCCTTGGTTCATTACGAAGTTTTATGATGGATACGTGAAAATCTAGTTTGGATTGAAGCAGCCGCACCAACAACAGACACGACTACAAAACAACAACAAAATGGATATAGAAGAAACACACACACACACACACACACAGAGAGAGAGAGAGAGAGAGAGAGAGAGAGAAACACATAATACCGATGTGTACGGAGAGTCTCGAACTCGATTCAATGTTTTGCTTTGAGAAATAGATAGCATGCTCAAATTCTTTCTGTATATGCGGCATACACAGATAACAAATTAATTCATTTAAATTAAATTTATTTCGATTTAGTGCCCGTTTCCCTTGCGCCTATTAATGTAAATTCAAGCACACATTAATCGACTTTCAGATTTTGTGTCTGGCAGAGCTATACGTAATTTTGTGGTTTTCATTGTATTTTGAATTGGTGTAGTCATTTGAAACCAGATGCCAACCAATTTGATCAATGTTCAAAATGCGCTAAGTAAGAGAGAAAAAGATTTTGTTGCTAGTAGTAAACGCTTTTATCGTTTTTTTCTTCTTCAGAATATACAATATGTTCCGAAATTGCATTTAAATTTCAATTTATCACTTTTTTCCTCTCTATATTATCTGCTTTTTTGCTTTCGAAATAATGGGAAATCCCGTTAAACAGTCACCCTCGAGAGCGTTTTCACTTTTGAATTTCAATTAAACCATTTTGTATTTGCGTGATGTGAATGGGAACATATATTTAATGAAACCAGATCAACATGAGCACGTTTATTGTAAATACCACAGGCACCAATCACATTTTGACGATGTGTGTCTTCTAACCGAGTAATGCGCCATATGTTTTATATGAAAACGTCACACGAATCTCCCCCGAAAACGACATCTTTGGTCTTGCAGCAGAAGCTGTTTCTATGCTGAAAATTCCATTTCAGTTTAAAAAAATTAAAATATTATTCATGTTGAATTGTACAAATATTTCAAAACGTTGAAATGAGATTTACAGAAATATGCATTTGAAAATTGTTTTAAAAAATAAACACGGCACAGCCAATTTCAAAAAGAATGACTATGAAATTATAACAGTTTTTATACCATTTTTATATGACCTGATCCACTCGCATTTATTCTACATTTGTGAACAGCTTTTATTGGGTTGAAGCTTTGAATGTTAATTAGATACGAGTGGAGAAATGGTATAAAGCGTTGAGCTATTCTTTCAATGAATAATATTGTTGACATATTTTCACGATGACAGCTATTTTTGCGGTACAAAATTGACCCGTTTGAATGATTTGTCAATATTGAACATACTCTACACACATGGGGAAACAGAGATGGCGTTGTCGTAGCATGTAGCAAAATATATGTTTAACGCAATATTCGGCTTGTGTCTTCAAACAAAAGACGAACGAACAAATAAAAAAAATCCAATTTGTGTTTTAATTCGATTAAATATTCGAAATCGAAATGAACATAAATCAGAATTTTGTCCACGACATCCGCGTGATGTTTTTCTCTATCCATCATTTTCATATTCTAATATCAACCGTATATCAAAAACTTATATCAAAGAAAAGCAGGTAAAACTCGCATAATAACCTTTTAAAAATTTAAATCATCTCTCTCGCACCACAACTGAGCATCATCTATTAAATTTGCATGAATTAAATTGAATGGCTTTTAGAGAAAAAAAAATGATTTCCAACGCAGATGATGAGGAGAACCGAAGAATAATTCTAATAAAGTATGGGATTTGATTATATATTTTTCTCCTTCTGGTCTCCGTGATAGGATTTTCATTCCATAAAATTCACCAATTTGAATCGCTATGTTATGGCAAATGAATTTTGTCGCACAGTTGTCTTTTACACACCTCAGCGAGGACAAGTGTGAAAATTCCAAATTAGTTTGTATTATTATTATTTTTTGTTAATTTCCGTTGTTACGCCAGTATTTATTACAAATCTTTTACTCAAAGAATTCACGAGAAAACTGAATCTGACATTAGTTTTACGATACAATTAAGTTTCGAAGCACTTCTCATACAAAAACTACTAGAAATGGGAATTTTTATATCGCAGCCATGCCTATATGATATCGTAATCATGTGAAAATTTGCAAAGGTTATTTTTTTCACAAGAAGTTAACATTCTGAAAGTTTGAAGAAATTTCAATACATATTAAGGGTACTTCCCATACAAAATTTCGTTTTTGAGCGAAAAATCCAAAATTTTGTTCGGGAGGTACCCCTAATATGTGTTGAAATGTCTTCAAACTCACGGAATGGCATTTTTGTCTGATAAAAATAAGCTGTGCAAAGTTTAAGCTCATTACGATATCATACAGGCATGGCTTTCATACAAAAATCCAATTTTTTTGAAATTTTTGTATGAAAAGTGTGTCGAAAGTTATTTGTATCGCAAAACTAACGTCATATTCGGTTTTCTTGTACCCAAAAACCCCTCAATACACATTTTCATATAATAAAATGTCACTTTTGGAGGAAAAATTGAATTATTCTCATGGATGGCCATGGGCATCACACCAGACATGACACTTTACTCTGTCAACCAAAGTCGCTCAAAATCTAATGGTTTCTATTCCTCGGCACCCCTAATCATCCTGTGAAGTCAGATTTTGAATTACTTTTCTTGTTTGAAAGTTATCGTGTTAACAAATTTTTGCGTACAGAGTACAGCGTACAGGGTACCACGCACATACATTCGGACATCGAAAAAACGCTAGATTCGTGTTCCCTGGCTTCTAAAACACCCAGAAAACAAGTTTTTTGAGGGTGTTAATTTTTCGACCGATTCCAATACTTTACCTTACACACTAGGTGTGTGCGGAAAAGTAACAAGTCATGATGATGAAGACATTATGACGAAGTAAAAATCAAAAAACAGAGTTTTTCTCTCATTTGCGTCAATAAATTGAACATATTTTGATTGTTTTTGCGTCAAAATAAAAACACATGTGTTACATTGTTTCATATTTCAATAGAAGTACGATTTCAAATTCAAATCGATTGATTGAAATTCTCAATGAAATAGAAACAATAAACCTGAATTCTATTTTGGTTGTTACCAATTTTACAATGATGTTTTTTGGATAATGACCACAAATTATCATTGGAATCGACAGTTAAATGACAATAGAGAGAGAGAGAGAGAGAGAGAGAGAGAGAGAAGAAACAAAAAAAAACTAATGGGAAACTGATGGGAAAAGCATGAGAATATATCTTTAACGACAATCATTAAATTTGACCATACTGTATATATTTATCGATGACGAATTTAAAATCATTCCTGCTGAAACAGTGATACACACACATTTATATATTCACGCTCACCATCAGAATTGCCATTTTGACATGTGTCAAAACCATTTTCAATCTCAAAGATCCTCAAAATTGATAATATTCATGAATTGTGTTCGGCTTGCCATGATGAGAACAAGATTCGAAAAAGCAAAGCGTTGAAACATTATGAAATGCCACAGCACAGGAATCTATAATGCGTTGTACATGTTTTGTGCCGATTGAACATTAAAATTTTGGGGCATATGTTTTGCTAAACAATCATAAAAAGGACAATTTGTTGTTTTTGTTTATGTTGAAGTTACATGATTTTCAATAAAAATTCTGAATTTCATTTATTTAGAAAAAAATCGTTAGTCTTTCCGTTCGGTTGTTTGGGTTTTGGCAAATTGTCGAAATGCCAAACGTTTAAACGCATCATTTATGGGATTTGTGCAGGATTTTTAACGAGCATGTACTGTCAACAAAGGCATTAGAGATTATTCTTGGGTTCTTTATTTTATTAGCATACATGTGGCATCTAATAGGTTTGACTAATATTTTTATTTGAGTGGGCGGTTTTTTCGCATTCAAGCAAATTTTTGACTGAATGTGTCTCTTCTTAAATGAGACATTTGGTTTTAATAATTCGAGAAATTCAAAAAACTAGCTACCGAAATTGGAAATTCTCTAATTGCAATGTCGATGATCTTTCGAGTCGATGGCTATGGGATTGTCGTTATTTGAAATTTTAATTATATTTTTAAAGAACAAAAGGTAGGTTCTTTATCGATGATACCGAGCATTAAATATTAATAAATGTTTCGGTTTGAGAACAATTCGAATGAAATAAAAAAAGAAATGGTTAAATAAATTGGCCTGAAATATCTTCATAAATACGAACACATACGACAGAGCCAATGGTCATTATGTTGGCTATGTATTTCGGAAAAAAGCGCATCAACCGAACAATCTTTGTTATTTTTAGTGCTCTATGTATTGTAAGAAGCAACAGAGAAAATGGATTCGGTAAAGACGGTTCACTGGAACAAACGAAGAAGATTCCGGACAAAACAAAACATAAAAATAAAAAACAAGAGAAAAAGATCGATGTAAAAATAAAAAATAAAAACGAATGAAAAATAAGCATAATAATAACAAAATAAGGCAAAAAACCAAACGGAGAAAAAGAATAAGGCCAAGAACGATGTATATATATATATATATTGGAGAGACCGATCTTAGAGATGCATAAGAATTGATGAAAAAGATAGAAAACGTACACGTACGATACACATTATTCGTATGGAGTGCTTTGTCGATTACCAACGAAGATGATCTTGAACGAGCAACAGGAATAGAAGAAAATAATGGAAGAGAAAAGAAAACAGATATAAAATACACGAAGCAGTACAGCAGCATCAGTAACACCACGCACATACTGCTTTTGAATTCTCTCTGATCCGGGGTTTTGGTTTTGTTGTATTTTCCTTGCGTTCTTCGAAAGAAACTCTCTTTCGATCCGTTTTTGTTTATATATAAACAATACTATTTTTTTCCTACATTTCTTCGGTTCGTTTAGTTGGCTGGACTCGACGAACGTAGTTGCTGTTGTTACCAAAGACGAGCTGTTCTTGGTGTTAGTGAGAGTTTTGTTGAAAATTTATTATTTAGTATTTACCATGTGCCTTTTTCTTTCTTGATTTCGGCGCCATGTCTGCAGGCTGATTATGCTGTTGTTGTTACTGGTACTGCAACTATATTCTCGTGCTGAATTTGAAATTCTCAAATTTCTATTTATTTGAATATATTTTTATCTTTGAATAGTCAAGGAATGTAAAATAATTCACACACAATTTTCTTTCGATGCGAAGTCGTTTGTTGTATTCCGTTAAGTAAAAATTGTTCTGAAGAATTAAAATGGCTTTATTTCAATGATGATTGCTTTGCTTGAACATTTGTGGAATCATCACAAAAAAAGTATTTATCGCTTTGCAATTGTTCACAAGTAATTTGAATGTGTCATCAGAATTCTGTTCAACACAAAACACGACACCAACAAAAAAATTTTACTTTCTATCACGTTTTGCGTTTTTATTTGATCAAAATTACGCAGAGAATGGATGTCTCTCACTCGTAGTTGATATAATTTTGTTTATTTTTTTTTTGTTTCTCGCCTACTCCGAACTTTGTCCTTACGTAATTATCATTGGCAATTGTGAACGAGAGGAACACAGAGAGAGAACGATATTTTGAGTTTGAGTGCCGGTCACTGTTATTTATTTATTTCTCATCATGCAATAATTATATTTGATGGTTTCGTTTATTTTTAGATAAATCAAAATAGCTCTAAAACACACCAGCACACACACAATATATTTGTTCTTTTCTTATTTAACCACCTTTGTGTGTGTCTCTCACATATGTGAATTTACAAATTCGCTCAGCTACACCTAGTGAGCGAAAAAAAAAAACGAGAATCAACGTGCGCACATTAAATAAAAGTCACATTTGATTAACACGGATATCAAAACTAGAATAATGTCTTCCGAATTTTACGGTTTTTTATCTATTTTCCCATAGAGGGATTGGAAAAAATATCGCATACGTTTCAGCGAATACCGTTTGAAGTATGAAGTTATATGTTTCAATCGAACGCAAGAACGAAAACAAAGAAATTTTGTATCACTCTTTCACTGTCAATGTGAAAATATTAATATCCAAGATTAAGCGACAGAGCACTGTGACATTCCAACGCTGTGTCTCAAATTAAACTGAGTTCGATCGGAATATTTTTGCTTCAACTATAGTAAACAACACAGGTTTGTATACACATACATCACAAAAAAAAACACAACCACATACACACAAATCACATCTACGATTATTCGTCAAACGAAACAATACGAAACGAAGAACCGACCGAAACGGATCAGTGCTGGGCTTTGAGCAATACACATATGCACTCCAACCCACACTCATCGCAGTGTGTACCACCACGCACAGTACTCATTTTCTTCGATGCATTGCCTTACAAAGATAGAGAAAAAGCAACGAACAAGAGTGGGTAAAGAATTTAACAAGCGAAAGACGAACAGAAAATGTGTGACTGCTGTGTGTGCGTGTGTGAGAGAGAGACTTCTATTCAAATATTGAGTTGGTGTGTTGCGAACGAGCATTCTGTTTTCAGTACTGTGTGTCGCCGACGTCATGTATTTGTGTGCTGACTGTCGATCATCGTCGAATCTGTCTTTGTCCCTCTCGCTCATTCATACCGTCGCTCTTTCTCGTTCAACACTTGCTTTGACCAGAGTGTGCTTAGGTAGTAAATGCGATGCGGAAAAATGATACATGCCAGACTTTATATTATTTTCTGTTCTTTTCTCTGTTGTTTTTAATGATTCAGATGCACACATTAAAAACTATGCTTGGTAAACTGTGTTGCTTATACGGTTGTGTGCCTGTGCTGTGTTTTTTGCGATTCATTACTTCACAATTTTTTGCCTTTGTTTATTCTTGCAACAGAAAAAAATACAATTCGACACATGCATCGTTTTGACGATTCATCAAGATTTTTTCGCCGTTGATCCTCTTTTTTCATGTATACATATATAGAACATGTGCAAAGAACAAAACCGATGAAAATATGGTTGGTTTTTTCTCCTCATCTTCTTCCTCTTCACATTGTACGAATATCAAACCAAAGAGAAAAATATGAACAAAATTTAAAATTCACACCAACTGATTTCTCTCATCTCTCTTTCCAAAATCCACATTTCATTTAATGAATAAGTTTGTATTGGATAGGTCTCGTTGCGTAATATGAAAACCGCAACTGTTTGAATTTTTTTACAACGAAACATTAACCCTAGATCAGTAAACGTTCAAACCGACTATATCATTCGAGAACATTTTCTAGACGTTTCTAGAGTTATTTTCAAGAACATTGTTTTTTCCTGCACGTCTCTTAAGGCTAGGTAATTTCATTTAAGCTGATAACTTGTATCAGTGATTACTTATGGTACTTTATGGATTTAGAAAAAAGATTGAAACAATTAATAGAAATAAATGTAATTTGCTTACAATTCAGAAATATTTATTGAATAATTTGTGAGAAATTAGCTAGTTTAACTTGGGATTTTTTATTTGTCTCTCGAGATTATTTCGATCCCATTTACAAATTGAGCGTTAACTTTTCCATACAACAGTTGATTAAATTTAAATGTCGAAACACCCGCATTTTGTAATCTTCTTCTTGGAAAATGGCAATAATTCATTTAATTTTTTTCTCAGTTCAACTTATTATTCGTAGTAAATTACATTCAATACAATTATTGTGTCTGAATTTTGAATTAAACTTAGTTTTGAGATGATGCTTCAACAGAGCAAAAGCAGAATGATAAAATAATGATTGAAAAATAACATTTAGCTAAAATTTCATTTAGATTTGATAATTCCGCGTCAAATATGGTGTGCATTTCATTCTATTTCATCGTCTTTTTATTTCCGGGAGAATGACTGTCTGTCTGTGGTGATTTTGCATTCAAAATTTGTCGTTGCAATCGTTGATTTTCCATCAAAATGTATTTCATGTTGGCGTCGAGTGCTTTTTGATCTTTCAATTTGATTGCGATTTCGTTATTGCTCTTTTTCAATGCACCATTTTTCAGCTTTAGATCTTTCAATTGTGATTGAAGTACTCGAATGTTTTGTTCTTTTGAACTGATTGTTTTGTTACGTCCCGCTACCACCTTTTCCATATTTCGAATTTTTTCTATTTTTTTGTCGCATTCCTTCTGCAATGAGCATATTTCCAATTCAAGGTGTGAGCATATGGCGACCATATTTTCCATTTCAACAGCTTTTTCTGTCAATTGGCTCAGCAAATTCGTGTTGGTTGTCATCAAAACTTCGTCGGAAATGGGCGCAAGTGGAGTGGTTTGCTCGAAGCAAATCAAATAGACCTTTTTCTTCCCGGACTCTTGAATTTCGGAACGGCATTCTGCGCATATATGCGAACTATATGGACGAATGAAATGTTTTCGAGTCAAAATGATCGATTGATTGATTAGTCAATTCTTACCGCCATTTTGATAAACAATTTTGATGAAACAAATGACCGCAATCGGTGACAATAACATCACCTTCTTTCTGCACGAGTGAATCATAGCAAATCGAACACAAAACATCCGGCATTCTTATCTGTATTAATTTTTACCATGGAAAAACACTAGTAAATTATACGGTGCAAAGAGTGGACTACGTGATATTTGCCAAGGAACAAAATGTGTGAAGCAAGTGGCTCTTGTCAAAAGACATCATGTCGAAAATTCGAACAACGCTTTCGAATTCGATTTTCGTGCACTGATACAAACAAACAATCCATTTCAAGACCAATACACAATGGAAAAAACAATATCGATTTGCACATATTGCTTTTTGAATGTTTTGATTTACAGTGTAAACACATTCAGTCGAAGCATCGAAACAATCACCGCTTTAATATATAAACGCATCTATGGATTATATTCACCATATTTGTCAATGTTAAAAGATATGTTTAATCTCCAGGAGTTTTTTAGTCGTATACAATTTCAAATGCTATATGATTCAACGATATTGCTTTCCGTGTAGCGAACTCTCTTGATCAGCAGCAGCAGCAGCAGCAGCAGCAGCAACAACAACAAGAACAGCAACCACATCCCATAATATGCACGTTTATAAAATAAAAAATGTGCTCCAAATGAATACGAAATTATTTAATTGGCGTATGGATAAAAACAACTTCATTTTTGCATTAATTTTTTTTCTGACAAAAAAGTCCATTTGCGTGCAATTGAATCTACTGAGTCAAAATGAATCAGAGTATTTAACTTATTCCGCACACAAAACGAACCAATTTACTGCAGCCCAAATATTGTTCAACCGTTTGACTTATTATTCTCTTTCAATTTAAAATAAACAAAAATTCAAGTTTACCTTCAACTGAAAAAATTTATGATATGTATTTTTGCATCACACTCACCAAAGGTAAATCATTTCGAACGATTTTAACGCTATTTGATCGAATCGGTGACTAACTAGTATTCTGATAGACATACCAAAGTTCAGAAAACAGATTAACGTAGTTATACGCTGGGCACAAGCCGGAGCAAGTGACGTTGAATTGAGTGAGCAAAGAACGTTCCTTACGTTGATTTGATACGAGAGAGAGAGAGAGAGAGAGAGAGAGAGAGAGAGAGCAAGAACAGTTGACGATTGATTATAATTGGTATTTAATTGAATGGTAATTTGTTGTGCAAAAAAATTGAAAGCAATTCGCATTGTTTGGGTTTTTGACATACATTCTCATTCTGATTCAACTCACTTTTTCTCATTCTATCGGAATAAAGAAAAGAGAAAAAAATGTGCCATTTCAAATTGAAAGCAACACAAATAGCAAATAGAAGTGCATGCAAACAAGAAAATACGACATAAGAAGAGGAAAAAAGCAAATAAAATTGACAACAAAATAAAATTTATATGCTGAGCTAATCGTTGTGCCGATGAATTTCAATTGCAATTGCAAATTTATGTGTGTTCCGTTGTGAAAGGCTGACGGGCGAAAGAGTGAGAAGCCGATATCGATTTGATCGTTTGATTGTACACCATCCATTCATTCGTAATATGCTTCTCGTGTTTTTGATTTATCAAATGCGCACAGTGTGCAATCGTCTGTTAATTTTTTTTCTCCTCGCACATTTTCCATCCACATTATACATATTATTGTAATAAATTTTGCACAAATACATAAAATCAACGCGAATGAAGAGAAGAAAAAAACCGGCATATCGTTACGAGAAAAAATAGTACATCTATAGATCTATAGATCGTTATAACGATGAAATTATAATCAAATAAGCGTAACGACAAATGTCATAGTAGAATTGAATGGGGTAGAATAAAAACTACTTCTCGAAAAATGTTTAAACACGAAACCTAAAAAAAACTTTCAATGAAAAGTGAATCAATTTTTTTTTGGTTCACTTCAATTGGACGAAAAAAAATTGATTCACTTTTCATTGAAAGTTTTTTTTAGGTTTCGTGTTTAAACATTTTTCGAGAAGTAGTTTTTATTCTACCCCATTCATATATTGATCATGTTGATCTCCCCGCGCTTAAGCCACACCGTGTTGTGTTTATTTATTTATTATTAGAAAAAAATAGAATTGCCTCAAATCTCGATTGGAATTTTGGGATTTCGGTAACAAAAAAGAACAAGAATTTACCGCACAAAAATGCGGGCATGAATCGATTTTTTTCCTCGTGCTGCTATAAATCACTCGTTCTAAGTAACTTTGAAGGTGATTTTATTTTTCCACATTAAATGCTTACAAATCGCATTACGGCCGATATATTCAAAACTATTCAAATGTGGTCTGTCTCTTGAGATCAAACACACACAAAAATCACAATAGTAAACAGAACGAGATGTGTGCTCGTTATGTTTGCACTCTTTCTCTATCTCTCTCTCTTTACGCCATACAACCCGCGCTGCTGATGAAACGAGTTCAAATGGAATGTTATGCGGTTACTTTTATATGTGCACAACATCTCACATATACAAATCAACTAAGCGTATAAAAATAACAAATCTTCATTTTGTATGGCTGACACTCATAAAATTTTTGTAATGTGACGTGTGACGAACCGAAGCGGAAATCTAAATGGACTTTGTCTTCGACATGATGAAGACGAAAAAAATAGCATTCAAATACATACATGTTAAAAAGATCTTTTGCAAAAATTATGATCAGATGCATGTGCTTTATCTTCCGTAAAATTTCTTGGAATTCTATAAATAATCCGACTCATTTGCATTTAAAGCCACTGAGCATCATCGTTCAGCAACAGCAACAACAGCCATTTAAGACAAGCAACAGCAACAACAGCCATTCGAAGGTGATAAAATAAAATCAGTGACTAAATCCATTCAAAATAAAGAAAAAATGTTGAAAATTCACGCTTATTAACAATTAAAACGATCGTTTACGACTTACACATTCACACACAAAAAATATATATGATAAATCAAATTATACCAGTGTGTCCATAATATATAGAAATATCACTAAATAGTGTCGATATCTATACTATATCGGTCCACTATATATGAAAGATATTGCCGCACGGCACCGTATCGCACGATCGAAGCCAGTGTAGACGGAAAAAATCACAAATTGCCATGCGGCAGTAGAAAGAACTGTGTGTATGCGTCAACATGTTTGCCGTCCGCACTCACTTCTATCGTGAGCTACGGTGTCTTGCGGAATATCTTACATATATAGTGGACCAATATAGTATAGATATCGACACTATTTAGTGCTATTTCTATATGTTATGGACACACTGAATTATACACACAAAAAAAAGAAATAGTAGATTTTTTAGGTTATGTGGTTATGTGGTTATGTGGTAGGCATATAGTCTACCACACAACAAGTAAAATCTACCACAAAGTGTCACATGTATTTGCATTAATAAGAATCCCATATAAAAAGTGTCATACATTGGTATTTGTAAATTTGACAGTTTATAGATGCGACACTTTGAAGTACATTACAAATATTAGTGCAAATACATGTGACACTTTGTGGTAGATTTTACTTGTTGTGTGGTAAACTATGTACCTACCACATAACCTAAAAAATCTACTATTTTTATTTTTTGTGTGTATGAAGATGAATGGATGCGCAGATTTATGGAAATGTGGCCGGGAACTGAAAACGACCAAAGATCATCTCTTCATCACCCCATAACCATTTGCGATTTTTAAAATGGGTGTTGGTTTGAAGTTTGAACATACTATAAATTTATTAAAAATTTAATAAGCAATACAAATTTCAAATTTTTGATAGGACTGGTTATGGTTAGGTTATTTTGCGCTGGATTATTATTCACACATGCACGCTCGATTATAAGATCAGATTTCAATTTTCTACTTTCGATCGATTAAAAATAATAATCGAATAAGTCAACCACGATCAATAACCAATATACCAATCACGTTCGGACACACAAAAATCGATTATTTCTATTCATAAAATGCACTTTAGAAGTTGCATTTCGTAAAAAGGCTGAAAAATTGAACACATTCAGTCTTTTTTCAATAAATGTTTGCCGGTTTGAACGCGCTTAAAAAAGCAATTTTCAAAGCATTTCTTTTCTTATCTAAATCAATTATGTTTTCTTTTAGTGCAAATTATAGGAAATTTATGCTGGATTACATAAAACGCGAGGCGTAAATCTTTTGATAGAAAGAAGAAAAACGAAACTTTGAATGTTAAATGTGTTTTAATCGGCTAATGAAGCTAATGGTATGCATCGTAGTCAAAAGATCACATTCTAGCCCACGTTTGGTTGATGAATTTATGCATTGATTGGGCGATTTGGACATATTGTTTTGCATTTGCTCACCCTGCGTATAAATAGAATCGAAAGCATTTAAAATATTATATATTCCAATCAGATGAAATGGAGTTGTTGTTTGACAAACAGTTTCCGTTGATCGTTTCGAATTACCGTTTTTGTTGGATGTAAGAAATTGTCACACAATATCTCTGCTATCATAGTGTTTCTCTTCCTACTTTTGCTTTTTTTCTCTCTCTCTCTCTATGGTTAATACATGATACTATAACATTTTTCAAACCTCAGAAACCGCTTCGGTTTGGAATTGTTATAAATGTATGTCATTAATTTGATTTTTTTTTATATCTTAAGACATAAACGGATCGGCAATTTTCGTCGTAAAGATAAAAGGCGTCTATTTTTTCGTTTCGACTCTATGACATCCTACAATGATGGATTTGCGCAGTTTTATGTTTGAAAAATAACCACTCTGCACAATTGTTTCGTTTATTTTTTTAATTCATGAGAACCAGCCATACATTTGGCTAGTTTTTGTTTTTGAAATGGATTCCATTCCGGATCGATTTAATTTGAACGTATGTGTGAGATTCATTTTATCTTCATGGTGACATTGCAAACGATCAGTATTTTCCGATTCTAAATTTGTTTCTTTGTGTAAAAATCTTGAAATTAATATCTGTATTATGTATGTACGCTCTACCAAACGTTTTATTAATTGATGGGATTCTTTCAAAGTGATTCGACGATTACATCAATTTAATTGTCGATCTTCATGATGTAATTTCCATCATTGCATTTGAAATACACCCAGTGTGAACACATCCTCCTTGTTAATAATCAATAAAACAAGTACAAATGTTCGTGTGAATGCGTATTCTGTCGTTTTTTTGTATGTATACGGTTATAGCATAGTGACATAAGTTACAAATGCATGTCATAACTTGAAGTCATTATTCCGCCTAGGCAATTGCAGAGTGCAGTATTTAATACATTGTGCCAAAGGC